CTATCAGGACTCCTCCGCCGGAAACTAGGCCAGATCGAATAAAGTCACGATCACACCTGAACACACAGTATTCAGCCGGAAATAATTCACTATCACTCACATTCACAGACAGCCACGTCTCAGTCAAGCAAATTAAATCAAATTCGTAGTCACTGACTGCATTGAAGAATGACACCGTCTTAGAATTGAGACCACGTACGTTCTGGTAGGAACACCTTAGCTTAAGTCTCTCATGACAATTTGGTCTATTATTGCGTTCAGTTATGCGTTTAAAGTAACAATTCGGAACCCCATTGAAATATTTAATTCTGAGGTTACTTTCACCTTGCGCGATCCTTTCATTCAGTTTGCTCTTTAAGTAGCGATAGAGCTCCATCTGTTTTCGAGTTTTATCAAAAGCAACCGATGTATTTTTATATTTTTCATTGTTTTTTAGGATATTAGTCTTCTTGATTATAGTATGAACCATCTCCTCTGAGTGAAAGATTGCCTTTACTGGCCTGGTCGAGCCTTGTCTAAATTTTCCAATGCGCAGAACCTTAACGCCCAGATTAGTAAAATTACCATCGACAGCCCCAAGCAAATCTTTAACAACAGCTTGATCAGAAGCCAGTCTTTCCTTTCCATCAGTACCTGTCGGTTCCGGCAAGCCAAATATCATCAAATTCTTTTTACGCTTTTCTCTTTCATGAACTTCCTGAACAACCTCCTCAAGCACAGAGGAATCAGATGAGTTTGAACTATTGGTAGCCTTAAGCTCACTAATTTTATTCTCCAAAGCAGACATTTTCTATCTAGCTATCTAGCATAAAGGCATTACACCTGTGGACCGCTTTAAGAGTAAGTTTGCCATATAGCACCTACCTGTGCTATAACTTCAAGAGCCTAGGACGGATTTTCTACCATAAAATTCCATGATCAGTGCAGGATGATGAACGTCCTCTTTAACAGAAGGTGCATTATCTCTGAGGACTTCTATTTCGATATTTCCTAAAATTAAATCCAGAATTCGACCATTTACATTTGGAATATTATTAAAGTTAGTTAAATCTAAAAACGAAATAAAGTTGCTCATTAATTGAGACTTCTGATCATTAACGTCACTGTTGAATGATGCGACATTAAAGTCACCAGCAACAATTATTTTACAATTACTGAATGCATTGTTAAATACTTCCAAAGCTTCAAGGTACTGACTAAACATGTCCAAATTAATTGAAGGCAAAATATAAATAGAAAAGATAACAAAATGCTCATGGTTAATAATAAGCCTAATACATACAGTATCAATCGACGGAAAGTTTCGACTCAAAGCACTAGCGTCAATTCTAATTGCATGGAAATCGCGTTTTATGGCTATCAGGACTCCTCCGCCGGAAACTAGGCCAGATCGAATAAAGTCACGATCACACCTGAACACACAGTATTCAGCCGGAAATAATTCACTATCACTCACATTCACAGACAGCCACGTCTCAGTCAAGCAAATTAAATCAAATTCGTAGTCACTGACTGCATTGAAGAATGACACCGTCTTAGAATTGAGACCACGTACGTTCTGGTAGGAACACCTTAGCTTAAGTCTCTCATGACAATTTGGTCTATTATTGCGTTCAGTTATGCGTTTAAAGTAACAATTCGGAACCCCATTGAAATATTTAATTCTGAGGTTACTTTCACCTTGCGCGATCCTTTCATTCAGTTTGCTCTTTAAGTAGCGATAGAGCTCCATCTGTTTTCGAGTTTTATCAAAAGCAACCGATGTATTTTTATATTTTTCATTGTTTTTTAGGATATTAGTCTTCTTGATTATAGTATGAACCATCTCCTCTGAGTGAAAGATTGCCTTTACTGGCCTGGTCGAGCCTTGTCTAAATTTTCCAATGCGCAGAACCTTAACGCCCAGATTAGTAAAATTACCATCGACAGCCCCAAGCAAATCTTTAACAACAGCTTGATCAGAAGCCAGTCTTTCCTTTCCATCAGTACCTGTCGGTTCCGGCAAGCCAAATATCATCAAATTCTTTTTACGCTTTTCTCTTTCATGAACTTCCTGAACAACCTCCTCAAGCACAGAGGAATCAGATGAGTTTGAACTATTGGTAGCCTTAAGCTCACTAATTTTATTCTCCAAAGCAGACATTTTCTATCTAGCTATCTAGCATAAAGGCATTACACCTGTGGACCGCTTTAAGAGTAAGTTTGCCATATAGCACCTACCTGTGCTATAACTTCAAGAGCCTAGGACGGATTTTCTACCATAAAGCTTCTTCATTCTGACTATCGGAGTTGATTCTGACTACTAAGAAGGGTCAACATTGTGTTCATAGGATTTTCCATCCAGACAAAACGACATTTTTAATAGCTACATTAGATTGCTTATCCTCGGCGTTTACTTGTGTGCTAAAAAAGGTCGGACAAGTGCCATTTATTACCAGCTTCGAACATTGCGAGAGTGAATGGCAGCTATCTGAGCCAGAATCGACGGCATCAAACAACAATGAGGACTCGGCTTTCAACCCGGACTGTGAAGCCCTTACAGTTCTAACACATAGCAGCTATTCACTGTCGCAGTCACTGGCGTATTCAGAGCGGGGCTTTGGAGCCCCCATGGCATAATACATTTTTCCTTATATAATAAACTTTTTTCTAGATACGTCAGTGCTCGCTGTGGTCGATTTTGTTGACAATTGGTAATTATGCAGTCGTATTTGGATTTATCTTATACCTAGGCCGTGCTGATGAATGCCAATAAGCACGAAACAGCTGTGCGCGATTGGCCTTCTGTTTGGTGGAACGGATGAAAGCGGTATTATTAGTTTTTAATGGAGAGTAGACTATTCCGCCAGAATAGACGCCATCATGTCGTAACAGTGAAGACTCGGCTTTCGTCGAGGACTGATATAATTTAGTCATAATGAATGAATTCAAATAGACTAGAAGGAGGCAAGCCTAGTTTACATTGCATACGTTTGGCACCAAACTTGCGTTGTTTTAGTACATATTTGTGATTCATTGGTCTACCAAAGTGACATCGTGGTATCAACATAATGATAATGAGCCGTATTCATCAAAGAGAAGCATATCCTCGGAAGTATAAGGTAAAACTATAAGGTCTTGCTTTGGAGAAAAGGGTAGAAGTATAAGCATATCCTTGTTTTCATATTCAGAATGATTACCTTTTACTCGCGAGGATATCCTCCAAGAAGAAGTAAAAGGTTGACTGGTATTTGTATCTTGAGCGACATGTCTTGACTTGTTCCAGCTTGTAGTTGACGTGTGAGTTCGTTCACTCAGCATCACTGACAGTTGTACTGCAGAGACCGCTTTGTATTTTTACTCGATACAGTTTTTTATCAAATTAATAAGCATGTCATCCTCAAGTGATGAGGAAACTATAGAAAATAATGGCAATGACCTGCAGTTCATCGCAGATAAAATTGCCATTGTCACAAGTTCCAAAAATAAAAATGAGAAAGGACGATGCCTTGAAGAAGATGTTGAAAAAATACGAATCAACATTCGGTAAAGCATTAGATACTAAAGGCTTATTAAAAAAGATCAACAACATGAAATGAAGATTGAAGAAAAACACAGATCTAAATAACTGGTAAAGCAATTAAATTCTTAGATTGGGAAAAAAAGTTGCTGAAAGCTACGGAAGGTGACTGTAATCCTACAGTTGGGAAAATTAGAGGTGCCATTCAGGTTGGTAGTGTTCAAGAAGGAAGTGAACTGTATACCGAGCGCAAGAAAATTAGCAACAGAGAAATACGAAACTGAGGAAACTAAAGGTTTAACTACAAAATAACTGCAACGTCTAGTGCTCTTACAGCAGTACCAAACAAGTATTTTACAACAAGAGTATTATAAAACGAAATTATATAGAAATACTGCAGCGACAGAAGCCACCTGTAACTTACGATGTTAACGAAAATAAAACTTATTATAACTTATAAATACACTTTAATCAGTAAAACTACTTATTATAATACTCAAGTTTTTTCTTATTTGTCGACCTAGTTGGCGAAGAGGAAGTTCGTCATTCTCATGATTTCCTTCATCTTCATCAAGGTCTTGTTCAACTAATTCAAAGTCAGGAACAATATGGAGTACAATACAAGCAATAATTATTTTCGGCACATTTTCCAACTTTACGCGGCAAACATACTGTAGGATATGACACCGGCGGTTCAGTTGGCCGAAACAGCGTTCAATTATAACTCTTTCTTATTTTAAAAGCTTATTATAATTTATTTCTGCACCTGGAGTAGGATTTCTGAAGGGAGTCATAAGGCATGGCTCAATACCATAACCATCATCGCCAAGTACTACAACATTTGCTTTATTTATTAATTGTGATCTAGTCTGTGAATTTCTCCATATTCTGGGATCATGCACTGATCCAGGCCAACTGATATCAACATTTGTGAACATCTCTCTGACATCACAAGTGGCTTGCACATTTAAAGAAGATTTCCCTTTTCGGTTGATATACTCATCTCCATGGCGATTTGGTTTCAGGATTCCTATATGTGTACAATCAGTTACACCAATTGCTGTCGGAAATTTATACATGCTTTACCATATCCGCTTAGCCTCCATCAGTTCATGGTTGGTACAACAAATAGATACGCTCAACAAATATTTCTATTAAAAAAAAGTCCCCTCCACGCGGCAATAAATCAAGCTGATAAAAACTATACACCACTCAACCTTCATGCAAACATAACCTACTCTGAAACGGAAAATCAAGAAGACCTGAAACAACGATGGTCAAGTAAGGCGCTTCATGGTAGATATGTCAAAATAGTACGAGATGAAAGAATAAACATAACAGCAACATAGGATTAGCTAAAGAAAAGTCTTATATTTCCTGAAACAGCAGGTCTTGCGATTGCTATTCAGGACCAAGTAATAAGCATACGGTACTACAAGAATTAGGTACACCCTGAGAGATCCCAAACTTGAAACCGATAAATACCGTAAAATGTTTTTAGAGAGCATATACCACATCTGGTTGTAAAGTTTTAGCTGCCACGGAATACACAGTGAGTTATAACAACGTAGGAAAATTAATACACAAGGCGCTAGCGAAAAAAATATGGACTGACATCATGTAAAGAACCATACTATAAACACACACCAGATAGTATAATATAAAAGGCAATGCACACAGTATACTGGGACAACCCTATCCTCACAGATAACACAATCGACCTGATAGAACTGTAGTCGACAAACTAAAGCATGTAACCTACCTGATTGATGTGGCAGTATCAAGCGATCAAAAGACTATGGAAACAAAATAAAGTGGAAATAATACCGATGATAATATCAGTGACAGGTATCATATCATAGTCATATATAATCAATCTAGAACTACTTGGACTGAATTCGCGGGCACATTCCCAAATACACAAAGCAGTTATACTCTACTAGACAACTTTCACAATAGAATTAGTTAATAATAATAATAATAACAATAATAAATGATTATTAGAGGAGGCATCTTCCAACGGGACGCCCTGGCACCTCTCATTTTCTGTGTCTCACTCATTCCTTTGTCTGCTGAACTGAATAGAATCAGAGCTGGCTACATTTTAAGTGGTTCCAAAGTCATATATATGGATAACCTGGAACTGATTGGAAAAAATGAGTCAGATCTAGAAGAACAAATTAACACAGTTAAAAGATTCAGCGATGATATCCATATGGAGTTTGGGCTGGATAAGTGCGCACAGATTAGATTCAGGAAATAAAAGCTGCAAAGGAAGAACCACATGGAAGAGACACAGTTCTATCAAATTGAAGATGCTGATACTTATAAATGTTTAGATATTGACGAAGGAGAACGGATGAGTGATAACCTAATCAAACAGAAGGTCAAAAAGGAATACGTTAGAAGACTCAGGCTGCGACTCAATAGTCACCTGTACAGCAGAAATACGATCCGCGCGCTAGGTCAACTTGCATTGCCAGTCCTTGTTTATAGTTTTGGCGTAATCGATTGGCAATTGGAAGAAATAAAAGCAATCGACCGAGAGACGCGTAAACTGCTAACATTATATATTCCAGGAAACAGGGAGGCAGGGGACTACAGCAAGTGGAGGCAGACTATAAGTCAGCAATACTCAGTATAAGCGACTACTGTGAAAACAGCCCAGGCAGAATGATGATGATTGCCCGAAATTACGATCTCTTTCTGCCAGTAACTAAGTCCCGTATACAAACAGCAACAAAATCCCGTCATCAGTTATCTATACGCGAATTCCTAAAGCCAGACTTGCAGAACAGAAAGGTAACCTATAAAAGATGCATCCAGTCGGCACCTAGGAATAAATGGCAGGGAAAGGCCCTGCATGGGCAATATGTTATCCGAGTACTTCAAAACCACAATCTCAGCAAACAAGACAGTGAGATGGCTCACAAGAGCAAACATAAAGGGTGAAACAGAAAGCGGCACAAGATCAAGCCATAAATACCAACTACCATTCAAACCGGATACTGGGAAGAAACAACGATTCCAAATGTAGGATATGCAAAGAGAATGATGAAACCATATCTCACGTAATGTCTTCAGCGCGAATGCGTTACACGACACGACAGAGTTGCCCAGATCTTGCACCATTCAATCTGCAAAGATTCCGACATTGACGTTAAACAGCGTTGGTATGAGCATGAACCATAGCAGGTTGTAACTGCGAGTAATGTTACCATTCTTTGGAATCAGCCTATAGTAACAGACCGAACAATTGCTGCCAACACACCAGACATCGTTATCAAAGATCATAAAAATAAGCTATGCACTATAATTGATGTTGCAGTACCATCAGATTACAACGTGAAAGACAAAGAGGCTGAAAAGTTTCTAAAGTACCGGGATTTGTGACATTGAGATAAACAGAATGTGTCAAATGCGTACGCGCATAGTACCATTTATATTAGGTTCCACAGGTGCCGTGTTTATGAATTTTGACGCACATGTAAAGGCAATCTCAGGTACCTTAAGCTCTTACCAACTTCAAACTGTGGCCATATTCGATACAGTCTACATTATTAGAAAGGTCATAACGTAACGCCTAATCTAAGGGGTAAGGCATACCCCCGATTTTGACGAAGAAAGTAATCCAGCCACCAACAATCAAGAGCTGAGAAATTTAAAAGAAATAATAATAATAATGGTCTTCACAGGAAAATAAGCCATCTGTTTTATATTAATGACTTGAAGCTCTTTGCCAAAGACAATAAACAGCTGGAGAAAGAACTTTCAATAGTAAAAATATTTAGTGACGATAACGGTATGCAATTTGGACTTGACAAATGTGCCAAGATTACTATGAAAAGAGGAAAAGTTGAGAGAAAGAAACATCAAATTGAACGACGACACGGAAATAAAAAACCTAGAAATCGGTGAAACCTACAAGTATTTGGGATTAGAGGAATGCGGGAGCATTGAGTACGAAGAGGTGAAGAAACGACTGACAAGAGAGTACTATCGGCGTATAAGGCTTGTTCTCAGGACGGACCTAAGTTCAAAAAACAAAGTAATGTCTATTAATTCAATCGCTGTCCCTGTGCTGACGTATAGTTTCGGTATTTTGGGTTGGTTGAGAACCGATATACTGAAGCTAGATAGGAAAACAATAAAACTCCTAACTTGTGAAGGTATGCATCATATTAAGTTACAGCTCTGAAGCGAAATGATCAGGGTCTACAAGCAGAGTTCTCGGTTCTGGAAGTAAGCTGACATCTATGAAATTATTGCATTTAAATGTATTTTAAACTGTTTGCCAAAAATTCACCCATTTTCGAATATTCAACTTACTATTCTTTAATACCGCATGGTCGTAACACTTCCTACTTCAAACATATAATGAAACACAATGGAAAGGAGGAGGTCTCCAGGGACCGGACCTCGGATTTCGTCTAAAAAAATCCTGTGGGTAGGTCCTGACCTCCCAGCACAGACCTTAACAGCATTTCGTCCATTGCGCTTAAGTTCGAGAGAAATTGGCCATTGAAGAGCGATATAGTGTTGGATTAGGTTCAAAATACTGTTTTCTTGAGCTCATGCATAATATCGTGGCTTATGAGCTTTGATCAAAATCCACGTTTCGGTCCTGGAGAACCTTTCTTGTGAGTCAAAAGAAGCTATATAAAAATAAGTGTTGCGTGACGGCGCTTACATTTAACAATTGAATAACGTAGACCTTGAGATAGCCAACCTAATACTATATTTCTGCGTCCAAAATATCGGAGATACAACGAGATATCATTGCGTCATCTATTTGAATTTGTAAGAGCTATGTTCCTTTTCTCCGCGCAAATTGAAAATCTACATTGAAAAGGTTAGTGTCTCATAGATGGCGTTGCAGCCAAATACAAATACATGGAAGTATGCTTGTGATGGTGGGAAGATTGTTCTAGCTCTTAAGTCACATCCACGCCAGCCAGAGCAGCTTACACAGACCAGGGCCAAATCCAAGATCGAAAAACGGTGAGAGAGTGACGCAGTGGATTTCCACACTATAGCGATGATAACTGCTTTTTTCAACTAAAACCTTTCAGAATGGCTTTACACCTAACTGTAAACCTCTGTACACGTTCGCAATATGCTTCCTTGCAGTTTAACTTTTGAAGTGGAAGGGTATGAGAAGAAATGTACAACGGGGGCTCTTACGTCAGATACTCATTCTGTCCATATGATCGATAAGAGGAAACATCAGAACAGCAGAATATCATGAAATAACGATGAGAGCTTACAACGGTTGATTGCAGCTGCACTCTTCATTCGATGGCAATGCTCTATAAGGTAAAACGTAGAGGAAGGTTTCTTATCAACACCGCAAATTAATTAGACAAGTGACAGTGCTAAAATAATTGATCAAATAAAATAAAAATGTTGAAATTTGAGTAATTTTTTTGAGCCAAAAACCCCGCTAATAGAACTATATGATGCTTTTACGTTTAAAGCTTGCAGGATAAGTTTCTCCACTCCCTATTCATAGAAAAAAAGTGAAAACATTGGGAATATACTCTCTAGAGGCAAAATATTGATATTCCATCGAAAAAACAGAACTGCTAAACAAATAAAAGATAGGGTTGCAAATATTAATTTTATAGGTTTCCAGGATGTATACTTCAAGAAACTAGTATCTTTTTATTTGTCCGCCATTAGCGAATAATGTCAAAAGAAGAACTTTACCAAACTATCGTACTTCTTATGTCACATAAAGCAAGGCACACTGCGCTCCCACGGCGACACAAATTCCAAGAGATCTGTCAGCACCTACGGTAGAGGACCGCGCGATAATGGCTTCTGGATAACGCCCACCATCTCGAGGCGATATATTTTTTCCGGAAGATAAATGTGAGACGCGGACAACAAGAAAATTGGTAATAATGTCCTCTTTGGTAGTTTTTCCAATTATATCTATCCAACTTTATTCCTGTTAGAAGATAACGCGTCGTTAAACTTTTCCTCGATGCTCTTATGTGTAAAGACAGGATGTCAGTTGCTTTCCAACAACTACGAGGCCTTTTTGATAGGGCCCTTAAAGGTGAACAGATAGTATTCTTTTACTTCCTACCCTTACTGGCGAGGATTTATTGTAATACCGAAAGATTTGGAAAATGAGATATTTTGTTGCGTGGAAAGTGCAGAGCCAACCTACTTGCAATTTTTTTAGCATCTAGCGTAATGTGCCTATGTGGAAACAAAAGCTGAACTTAGCTCGCAACTATACCATTGAGATATTTATGTCTGGGCACAGCAGTACATAAAATATAATTTAGCATCATAGTATGATTGAGAATAATTTTGACTTCCATAAGCCTGGACGAGCAGCCGGTACTTTGCAGTCAAAAATAATTTGGTAGAGTACTACCACCAACATATTATGAAACCGCTCTTCAAATCTTTTTACATCCTGGTGAAATCGCCCCCCTTGAATCATCACTCGCAGTTCCCAGGTTTGAAGGGATAAAATGAAAATTGGAATGAAGAAAATGCGTTTTAAATGACAATCGATCTTTTTAGAAGCATTTAACATATCGTTTGCCAATAGTTCCGCGTTTTTGGTTCTATGATCACTGACAAAACCTAAATTTTAACGATTTTCACATGCATAGTTCGTTGTCATTTGGTTCTTGATTGAAATTTCCGTTTTTCAACTTCATCATTTAATTTTGGAAGAATTGACTTTAAGCACAAACTCCGTCACCTATTTTGTCCATTGCATCCGCAAAATTCTTCATTAAGGCGAGTTTTATATAGGCGAGCTAGGACTTTCCTTTTTAGAAACAACTACATTTGAAATAACAAAGTGAATTTGCGGTCAAACAGTACTTGAAACGTAAAAAAGAAATTGGTCCTATCACATGTTTTGTTTGTAATTACTGCGTGAAGTTATTGGACTCAAAAACAATGGTTCGTTTACTTTTTCCTAAATTTGCAAACCTACGCAATCCTGGAAATACCGTGGACAACGGCGATGTTCTGAATACCTGAATATACTCGCGAAGTATCAGTAGGAACTTGAAGAGCCTTAGAGTAAGCTAAAATAGAATTCATAGCTAGGTTATTGCTGTAGGAACGTGCCTATTTCGGTTTTCGAATGCGGTTTGTTCATAAACTAGGTTACTACACACCGCTCTGATTTGGATACTGACTCACATAGTCATACCATCATAAAATATCATAACCATTTAACGTGAAAGGTGATGGAGGCAGTGTCGGAATGACTTATTTTGAGTTGTTACATATATGTGTTACTACGAAAACATGCTTATTATTGCCGGACCTCTGTAGAGGAAAGTCCCAATTTGATGATACCCTGTACGAGTATGTATGTAGTGCAGGTATAATATCGTTTTCGGGGTCACTTGAAAGCAAGTTTTTTTCATTCGACTTTTCAGACCCGAATTCCGTTCATTTTGGCTAGTCTTCAGTCAAACAGTGATTACACTGGACAACAAATTTTAGTTTTTCAATTGTATCTTGTGGGAAAAGTGCACTTCTTTGTTAATTTTGGGGCGCTGAATCCAAAAATGACAATGAAATAAAAAAATTAGTTGCGGTTTAGAAAAAAAAATTTTTATTTTTAAGGATATATTAACACGTTCGCTGCGACCTGCCTCGTGCCGCGCGCACGGTAGCGGCTGAACGATTTTAGGCGCCTGACAAGCGAAGCGCGGATTCGCGTCGTAAGCCTATTGGATGTGCGTTGTGTAATTGAAAACTATTTCATATATACATTTTCTTCTTCCATCTCGTTTTTTTTTTTCGTGCAGTAACAC